TATCTATCTATCTATCTATCTATCTATCTATCTATCTATCATCTATCTATCTATCTATCTATCTCTATATCTATCAATCAATCATCTATTTATCATCATCTATATCATCTATATACAGGTAGTCCTCAAGTTATGGTTGCAATTAAGTTCAAAATTTGTGTTGCTGAGTGAAGCATTTGTTAAGTGAGTTTGCCCCATTTTACGACTTCTGTTGCCACAGTTGTTAAGTGAATCCTTTGTTAAGTTAGTAACATAGTTGTTAAGTGAATCTGGCTTCCCCATGGACTTTGCTCATCAGAAGGTCACAAAAGCTGATCACATGACTCCAGGACACTACAACTGTCATAAATACAAGTCAGTTGCCAAGCATCTGAATTTTGATCATGTGACCATAGGGATGCTGCAATGGTTGCAAGTGTGGAAAATGGTCATAACTCACTTTTTTCCAGTGCCGTTGTAACTTTGAACAGTCACTAAATGAACTGTTGTAACTCAAGGACTAGCTGTGTCTCATCTATCTTGTTTTATTAGAAAAGTAGCCTTGCCTTTTCAGGTTACACCAAAGTGAAAATAATCATTTTCCAGCAAAACTCCCTTTCTGCAGAAAGACCCAGAATCAAGGACAGTATCGGACACAAATAGCAACAGCAACAGAATGTAAATTTTTTGGTACACCTGTGATTTACATAGGTAGATGGATGAGAAAGAGAAGGAGATGGGAAAGACAGAGACTTGACTTTGGATATCAATTCAATCTATATTATGAAAAATATTCTCCTAAAAGAACATTATTCTGTGCATCTTCCAAAACTTCTGGCCTTAGAAATGTTAAAGTGTGTTCTTACAAGCTTCACATAGAACTTTGGTTTTTCTAAAACGAACGAAATCTTCCCATTACTTTTGGGCATCTCTTGTATTCTAGTTGACACATGAAAAAAGAAGAAGACAACATTAAATTGTGCGATATGGTCCGAGAGTTCAACCAGCAGGAAAAAACACGGTGTGGGTAGACCTAGGAAATGTAGGGTTTAGGCATTACTAGATTCTCAGCCATCCAAGTCATGGTTGTCCCAAAGTGCTTTTTCAAGATGGAATAGAACTTACTGGTTTTTCTTTGAAGATCCTTTGCTTCTCATCCAAGAAACTTTTTCAGCTTTGACTGGATGAGAAGCAAAACATCTTCAAAGAAAAACCAGAAAGTCCAATTCCATCTTGAAAAAGCACCTTTTTGGACTATTAAATATATATTGTTACACTGGTCTGACTCAAATCTCTTTGAATGGATGATTAAAATACAGGGATGACAATGAAGTGAGGCAGGTATTTGCTACCATTCGACTCATATCTTAGGGCAAATGTTTTAGAAGTAAATGATTTATAGGTATTAAAAGTAAAGGTTCCCCTCGCACATACGTGCTAGTCGTTTCCGGCTTTAGGGGGCGGTGCTCATCTCCGTTACAAAGCCGAAGAGCCAGCACTGTCTGAAGACGTCTCCGTGGTCATGTGACCGGCATGACTAAACACCAAAGCTGCATGGAACACTGTCACCTTCCCAACAAAATGGTGCCTATTTTCCTACTTGCATTTTTACATGCTTTCGAACTGCTAGGTTGGAAGAAGCTGGGACAAGTAACGGGAGCTCACTCCATTACGTGGTGCTAGGGATTCGAACCGCCGAACTGCCAACATTTCTGATTGACAAGCTCAGTGTCTTAGCCACTGCGTCCCCCATATATATATATATGGTATTCCCAGGGGTGGGATTCAAATTTTTTAACAACTGGTTCTGTGGGCGTGGCTTAGTTGGTGGGTGTGGCTTGGTAGTCATGTGACTGGGTGGACATGGCTTGGTGGTCCTGTTACTGGCTGGGCGTGGCCAACTCAATATCACTCACATCGAGGCACGCATCTCCTCACCTGGCCTCTCATGACTGTGGGGATGCTGCAACAGTCATAACTGTGAAAAATGGTCATGTCACTTTTTTCAGTGCCATTGTAACTTTGAATGGTCACTCCACACAAGCAAAGTACCAGCAAAGGAGGTGAAAAAAACTCCAGAGAAGTTCCTGAGACAGGAAGTCTAGTCCTGCCAAGAATGTGATAAGGGTTAACGGAGAGGCAGTTTCTGTAAGCAACACCAGAATGTTTCCTTCCTGCCTTCCTTACAGGATTAGGCCAATAATTTCTTTTAACAACTGGTTCTCCGAACTTCTGAGAATGTTAACAACTGGTTCTAGCAAATAGGTGCAAACTGGTAGAATCCCACCCCTGGGTATTCCCCCATATATATATATGGTATTCAGCTTTGTTCAGGTATTTTCCTACGTCATTATATTTGTGCTTTTAAAGTTGTAGCAAAGTTTCGGCAACTTTAAAAGCACAACTATAATGATGTGGGAAAATACCTGAACAAAGCTGAATACCATACATATAAATACCTGCAAAAACTTGAAAACAAATATCTATGTATCGATATCGATATAGAGATATATAGATATATCTTTATTCTTTTTTGTAACCCATTATTTTTAAACCTTTTGTGTCATAACATAATCCAACTTGAAAATGATTAAAGACTATTTTCTGGAGATGACTGTAGCTACCATAGTGTACATATCTGACTTCTTTCAGTCAAATTTTGCTGGCAAAGGGTTAATAGTAGGCATGAGCAAAATTTATCCTTTCCCCTCCAGGTCAACATCTGGAGAAGCCACATCCGTAATGGACAAATCAGTTCTGTCAAAAATTGTATGTTTTTTAATGCAAATTTATAGTATTGGAACCATCTTTAAGTATATAATAAGAAACTCATAATTCAGCAGCTTGAGAATACTGTGTTGTGGGGTTTTGAATGCTTATTTCAAGTCACCTGAACATTTCAGGAAAAACTGATAGCATCTAATAGAGATTTAGAAGCTAAATAAGATATTTTGCTATTTCAGCAGGAAATGTATGCTTGACAGCTGTGGCTGAAAATCCTGATTAGCAAGTGCATGTCAGCTCACCATTGCATGTTGCTATTTAATGGCAGTTAGAAATTTCCTGTGACAAGCCACAATTTCCATCCTCCTATAATCTACCAGTTGCTGAGATTGCAAATTTACATGTAATAACCCCAAACAGCAGCCATTTCAGCCAATAAGAGAGAGTAAAACTGAAATCTCAGTAAACAGTTATGGTGCAAAGGCTGGTGATAGTAGCTAAATGTTACATGAATGCAATTCCTATATATGAATGATAAATGATTTTTTCTTGCCTACAAATTCCAGCAAATAGAAGAGTCCATTCTTGAACTCCTACTGCTATTTTCCTATGCATTAGAATAGATCACCATCCACCTTCTCTTCAGACATTGCTTTTAGGCATGTGGAGTTGTTCTTCCACTATCTTAAGTTCTGCTAAATGGATTCATATAAATATCAGGTTAAATAGATTTTCTTAGATCTAATGTATTCACATCAGAACAATATTAGTTCTTTATATATACTGTATACTGCTGCATAATCCATAAGGGACACACTTAATACCCTTCCTTGGTAGTTTTAAGAATATGTTACTGTTGTGGCCTCGATTCCCGAGCCTATGCTGTCAGAGGAAAAGGACCTGGAAGATGAGGAGGAGGAACTGGGAATGCCTTCCTCCCCAGGACCTTCCTCTCTGGTAATGCCTCAGGTTCCATCAGACAACCGAGAGGAACAGCCTGAGATTAATCAGGAGGAAGGCATATCGGAGCAGCCCCTGACAGGGAGTCAAGAGGAAGAGTGTTGGCTCGATCCTAAGCAGTGTCGTAGGGAGAAACGTGAGCAGCAACGTAGCAGGCGTGGGAGGGTCAGAGAGTGAGCTGAGTCATTGAGCCACACCCCACAGGGGATAAAAGTGGGTTTGTTTTCTCCTGGAACTTTGTACGGGACAAAGTTTAACCTTACTTCAGATTTTCTTTGTGGACTGCCTTGTGATTTTCTGTGAGTAAAACTTTATTTGCTATCAGTTCGGACTTGGCAGGCAGGACGTGGTGAAATGCCAAGAATATTATCAGTTCCAAAGAACTAACTCTGTGAAGTCTGAGCCAGCTTGCCTGCCTGTGTTTGTGTGTGTGTGTACTTTTTCATCTTTTCGGAAAGAGGAAAGGCGAGACAGAACATGTTACTATATTGATGAATGCAATTATCATTCTGATTTTTCTGCTGGAGTGTGTGCATTCAATCTAAAGTAATCCTAAAACCTATGGCAAAATGGTTAACATGACATTTGGGATGGGAAAAAAAAGGACACACAGATTAACCAAACTCATGTGTAATGTATTTCTGGTTCCTTTAACAGACCATTCCAAAAACTCTCAACACATTATTGTTTGAAATAAAAGAAGAAGAAAAAAAATTACACACCAACACTCTTGACATTCAGAACCTTAATTATCCACTCTGTTTGGTTGCTGAAATATTTTTGTAAGCCAGCAAAATGAAAACATGGCTTCAGGTTTCTTTTTCGGGAAATATGACAACACGGATTAATGCTGAACAGATTTATGGAGCTTCCTGAAGGTTATCACACCACTACTGTGTGTCAGACCAAATGGAACATCGTATAGAATCATCTTAGCTGCATTCAGGTGGTAGCCATCATTCCCTGCTACCAGGGTGTCAGGAGAACACATATTGATCCAGTTGAGAGAACCTGTTATAGAGCCTTGTTGACCCTACTGATGGAACATGGCACCGTGATTATTGCAATTCTAGCTTTAAGTTTATATCCCGAGGCCTCCCACAGCTTTAATTTGAAACACTTTATATCTGAGAACAAAATTAAGAGAGCGAGTCCAATCTTTGAGCCTCTGGTCCTCAGAGCCTTCATCCCTGGAGCTAGACTCTTCAGGACTGCTATAACAAAAGGATGTCTTGTCTCGGCCAGATTTACTCTGGAACAGGCGATGGCCTGGCATTGAGTGACCCTGCCCTCTTCTCTTCCCTTTTGCCCTTTAGTCTATCCTCCTGCTGCAGGAGTCTGTGTAGGCCCAGGATCCCTTGGAGGGCTACACCAGGGATGCCACTTCTAGTCATAACTCCGTGATTTCCAGTGGGCTCTCCATGATCACTTCTCTCATCTTGTGCATGGGGGTGGATTTGGCAGACTCCGTACGGGCGTTTCTGTCACAGTAGGGCCCACCTTCCGCAGTCAGTGTCTCTAAGGAGCGAGCTAGTATTTTCTGGTCATCCTCAGGAAGGCTGTTGAGGTCCGAGGTGAGGAGTGTGCCTGTGCTACCATGGACTACATGGACGCCATCAGGTCCCCTGAGCTCAACAGGCTGCTGATGCCGAAAGCGAAGGCTCCCTTGACTGGGGCTTCTCGGTTCCTCCTCCTCCTCATCCAGATCATTCTGGATCAGCTGGGGAAAAAAAAAACGACCAACATATCACGTACTTTGCATTTTCTCAAGCTGATTTTTCCGCTGTTTTCAATAGTAAGAATATTGCCTTTCCGCATGAATTAGAATAGACTCCTGCTGGGACTATTCCTGAAAATCCTGGTTACATCTAGAACCTAAGGTGTGCCTCCCATTTCTGCACATGCAAATGTGAACGTCTTTCTTCAAGCTATTTTGCAAAGCGACAAAAATTAGGCCCTCCGTTTCCCTTTAAAACCGACCTACTATAGGCAGTTAATACTATATACTTACCAGCAAAGGGTATAGAACCAGGGGTGGGCTCCTGGGGGGGTTCGCAGATCCCCTAGCTAAGATTCTGCACAGTTTGTAGAACCCCCAAATCCCGCCCCTCCTATCCCAGGAGTTCCCAAGCGGCCCGTTTTGGATGCAGGTAAGTACGGGGTGCACGCAGAGGCTCAGGCAGGGCGAAAAACGGGCCTGTTTGGGAAGTTTGGGGAGTCCGAAAATGAGCCTGTTTCAGAGACCCTCCAGAGCCCAGAGAGGCTGTTTTCACCCTACTGGAGGCTCGAGAAAAGCTTCCGGAGCTCGGGAAGGGCAAAAATGCAGCCCCCCCACCCACCATGGTGCAGGAGACCAACCAGGCCACACCCACCATGGCCACACCCACCCAGCAATTGGACCGAAAACTGCTTGCTAAATTTTTTGAAGCCCAGGCCTGTATAGAACTAACATGAATAAAATGAGATCTATGAAAGATGTTTTTATAAAATTATTATATAAGAGTCTTAAAGAACCTGCACTTCAGCTTTCTAGCTGATGCTAGGTCTGAACCTCACAAACAAACTGAATTGGGGGCACTTTTTGCTTGGCCCATTCCCCAATGCAGTCCAGACGAACTGGATACTGTAGTGTATTCAAATACAGACTTCTAATACTACATTCCTATTGGTTATTTAATACAGCGTAACAATTGGTTAAGAACAAGTTCCAATTGCCCGCATAAGCGGCGGGAAGTTTAAGCACAGGCCATTGGTTGCGAGCGGCGAGCAGCCGCTATAAAAAGGGCTGCTGCGGCTCGAGTTCAGTTGAAGTTACTGGTTGCTAATAAAGAGCTGATTTCAACTCCGGTATCCGAGTCTGCTTTGTCTTGGCGATAGAACAGATACTATATCCCCTTCATACACTCTCTGCCTGCAAATTCGCTTCTTACCATTCTCAGATTAGATTCAAAACTGCTGCTTTCCAACCGTAACCATCGTAGGCCTTTCAGTGTGGATGGCCTTCAGAACTTGGTTCTCTCTTAGTAGGAGGACCAGCAGTGTCTAGCATGCACACACACACACACACACACACACACTGCTTTGGCTGATTGCTGCTCTGGGTTGAGTTGCTGTGTACTTTGCTATCACTTGTTTATTTTATTTGTCCAATTTCTGCGACTGTTCATCTCAGTCAGTGGTGGGATTCATATTGTTTTACCACCGGTTCGGTGGGCGTGGCTTGGTGGGCATGCTTTGCGCGTGCACGCAGAGGCTTTCCTTCTGACCTTCTCCTGCAATCCTGAACTCTCCCTGGGTCTTCAGCAGCTGATGCACAGCAACCCGCTGCGCTGTGTGATGCAGCTGAGCATCAAAAGCAGGAAATGAAAGTCAGTATGGATCCAGGGCAGGTGGGCGGGCCCAGCAGCTGATCGTTGGAGCGAACCGGTTCGCTCCCAGATGATCATTGGAGCTACCGGTTTGGCTGAACCAGACCGAACCGGCAGAATACCACCACTGATCTCAGTCAAAGACGCTGGGCAGTTGATTTTCTTTAAAAAAATAATAATAATGGAGGATGTTCCAACTCATTAAGTCAATGAGCTATCCTTAACCCTACAAACTCAGCCCTAGTAGACCATCTTTGGGTGTCTTTCCAAACTGTGTGAAGCAGTCTCCCCTTGTGTTTATCTTCTACCCACAGGCTCCCCTTCTCTTTTTGAAAAAGGACTGTAGGGACACTGCTAATGTGTTTCTACGAAGCATCAGTTCTCCCTTGCTGCACTTTCCATGGGCCTACAGGAATAAAACAGCAATCTGTTCCTCGAGGCTTTGATAGCACTGGAATTATGTTGGTACCATAAACCGAAGAAAGAAAAAAGGGATTGCATAAATGTTGAAGAAGATAAGGTGGGAAGGGGTGGAGGGTAGGACACCCATGTGTGTAAACACATGGGAAAGCAAAGGAAAACATGGGAAGAATCGCCAAAAAGAAAAGGCTGATGTTAGTAGACCAGGTAGTCATAATCGAGCCAGTTTGATTTATCTTCTGTTCATAGGTGGGCAAGAAGCAAGGAAATTACTATCAGGTCTTAGGGTGGCCATAGTCTGGACTGAGCACTAGCTTGGTTGTATTGCCAACCCACAGCAATTGGGATCGAGATTTCTGAGGCTGATTTATGAAACACTGAGGAGCAGTATAGGACATAGCAATTTTATACTTGAATTTCCCAAAGAATGAAGCACCTATATTCCCACAGATGTTTGCTGAATTAGCACTCACATTATCACCTTGACTCAAACGGCTCACAGTTATATTTTGACTCTATCCAATGGGATATAGTCTCTCTATCCTTTATCGAGATCCCAGGTTTGTATTTTGGCATCCCTCCAAATAACTATCCTATCTATTTTGGGCTACAGTTCTCCCAATCCTTTGTTACCACTGACAAGGATTGTTGTGGATAATGAGATCTGAAATACACGAACATCAGCAGGTTGCATAAATCTTTGGGAAAGACATATTCACTCAATTTGAGCTCTAAAAGGAATTGTTTAATTTGGTTTCTTCTTAATTTCTGGCATTTTAGCATGGCAGACCAAAAAACAAAACAAAACTGGATAGCATGGTAACCAACGGTAATAAAACACATAGAAAAATAACATTTCACCTGTTCAAATGAAGAGTATTAAGAACTCCCATCTTCAATAGAGTAGAAATAACCAAAGTTGATATTTGGCAAGCCTTTGCTCTTGGAAATTTAGAACTCCAGAGAAAACTAGCTGCAAGCACCGTATAATAGGTACAGAAGGATTCAGCTCTGGAAAGATAAAGACACACCAACCCAGTGGGCACTGCAAACATTTTCTTGAACCCCATGCACACACAGGCTCTACCTCAGAGACTGAGGACTGGTCCCCGTGGCTGGTGGTAGCTTTATGCACCATCCGTTCAGCAAGCAGTCTTTTCAGCCGCATGTAATCGTCCAAGACTACCTTTAAAAGAGACGCCTGGAGGGATGTGGGAAATGGGCAATGGGAGATATTATACTGCATTCTTTCAGACTGAACCTGACATTAACTGGCCTAGGGAATCCTCATGAGAAGTTCCTCTAAAGCTCAATGGATATTTTCCCTCGTATATTTTTAATAGCGGAACCAATGATCTGAAGACTACCTGAGATTTAGAAGAAATGCTTTTCAGCTGTCTCTGGTAAATGCCTGCATTAAATGGACACTCAAAAGTTCTATACGAAATATACACCAAATAGTGTCAAAGAGTCAATTTATTTTTTTTAAAAAAATAATTTTTTTCCTCTGACTTTTTATGCAAAAGTCTCTTGCAACCTACATGGCAACAGATGATATTTGCTGGAAAGCTGCGGATTATAATGTCAAGGATATTGATGGCATAGATACGCACCTTGATAGGCCCTTCTCTCATGATCTGGCCCAACTTTGCAATGTTATCGTACTCCTGAATAGCTGCCCTCAGGTAGTGATCCTCTTCTGGCTTGGAAGCTGAAGGACCCCGTCCAAAGGTTCCCTAAAAAGAAGAAACTTAGAAGAACTTCTGTGGCCTCAACAGGCCTGAAGGAAAGATCATAATCGGGTTTTTTTTTTCTTGGAAATTTAACCCAATTCAGTAACTGTTAGAAACTTTTTGTGTAAATCACTTCTGCTTTTTAGTGGCAAACTTTTTTGGGTCAAACTTAATTATTAAGGATATCTGCAGCAAGTTGAATAAAATTACATCAGTATAAAGGAGCAAATACAGCGTCACATTACCTCACAGACAACTTTATTAGTTCTAACTTTACCAATCTGAAACAATTCTAAAGCTACTATCCTAGTTTTGTGCTAAAAAAAACACCTTCTGCTTTGGTTACCAGCATTTAGGCTTACCAAAATTGTAACAAATATCCTGACATAACAGGATAGTGAAGTTTGACATGGAAAGACAATTCTACATTGCATGGAATCGTAGCATAATAATAATTAAAAAAGAATATTTGTTTACTATCCATTATGATTTTCTGCAGCAAGTAGAGTTTTTGTTTAAAAGATAAAATGTGCAAAATAACACCTTAATGAAAGTATTCCCCTCTTCAGTGATTAACACAAGTACAAAACAGTTGGGATATTGCACCTTGCTCCTCCTGGTTCCCCACGTGTATTCATGCTCACATTAGTCCAATTTTCCCCTACCAATGCTACTTCTGGCAGAGTTAGGCCATTAGGCTGGCGGTTTTTCAAACCCTTAAAGCTACAGAGCTATCATCTCACATGGGTCCTGGTGGGACTATTCCACAGGTCTGTGATTTCACTCAGGTTCTCAGGTAGATCATCTTCATGTTCAGCCTGTGCTGCCAATTCCAGATTTCTGCAGAACGGATCGAGCCACACAGGGTTCGCTCTGTCAGGGATAGATGAAGCCTAGAATGAAACCCTAGCCAACTTGGAACACTCAAAGAACACACCAGTAAAACGGGATTTTTAAACAGAATATATCAATATATGTAACAATACATAAAGGGAATTGGTATGCCTAATGAAAAGAAGAATTAGGGGCGGCATGATAGCAGTGTTCCAATATTTGAGGGGCTGACACAAAGGGGGTGGGTGTGTGTCAACCTATTTTCCAAAGCACCAGAAAGCAAGACAAGAAACAATGGAGGGAAACTAATCAAGGAGAGAGGCAATCTGGAACTAAGGAGAAATCTCCTAACAGTGAGAACAATTCAGCAGTGGAAAAGCTTGGCTTCAGAAATTGTGGGTGCTTCAAGGTTTTTAAGAAAAGACTGGACAGTGACTTCTGAATTTGTATGGTCTCCTGCTTGGGCAGGGGGTTGGGCTAGAGGAGACCTCCAAGGTCCCATCCAACTCTGTTATTTTGTTACACAGTATAGTGTTAAAAGTACATGCAAATGTATATATGGCGGTAAGGTGAGGGGCGGAGCTGTGGTTGTATGTGCATGCAGAACAACCAGCTCAATATGAGCCAGCAGTGTGCAGAAGCAGCCAAAAAAGCCAATGCAATCCTAAATTGTATTAACAGAGGGATAGAATCAAGATCAAGGGAGGTACTAATACCACACTATAAAGCCTTAGTAAGACCACACCTAGAGTACTGCATCCAGTTTTGGTCACCATATTATAAAAAAGATGTTGAGACTCTAGAAAAAGTACAGAGAAGAGCAACCAGGATGATTAGGGGACTGGAGGCTAAAACATACAACAAACAGTTGCAGGAACTGGGCTTGGCTAGTCTAGTAAAGAGAAGGACCAGGGGAGACATGATAGGAGTCTTCCAATATTTGAGGGGCTGCCACAGAGAGGAAGGGGTTAGGCTATTTTCTAAAGCACCTGTAGGCCAGACAAGAAATAATGGATGGAAACTGAACAGAGAGATTTAACCTGGAAACAAGGAGAAACTTTCTGACAGTGAGAACAATCAATCAATGGAACAGAAGTTGCCCTCGGAAGTTGTGGGAGCACCATCACTTGAGACTTTCAAGAAGAGGTTGGACTGCCTTTTGTCAGAAATGGTGTAGGGTCTCCGGCTTGGGTGGTGGGGGGTTGGACTAGATGACCTACAAGGTCCCTTCTAACTCTGATTATCTGTTAAATCTGTTAAATCTTAGCCAAGCAAGATTGATTTTTGAGAACAACATTAAATATGGAAAGTCACTTGACATTTCATTTCTTTGGCTGGATGATGTATGTGGGAATTTTACTGTGGCTAGTGTTACCAAATACCTGCCATGGAGGCTTATGTTTGAGAAGAAATTAAAAAAAATAGTAGCTTAGTGGTCATGAACAGGGGTCCCCAATCTTTCGGACCTCAGGGACCACTAAATTCATAATTTTAAATCTCACGGACCACTAATATGATCTGCCTAATGACCAGCTGGGTGGGGTGTGGCCAACTCGATGTCACTCAGGTTGAGGGGCGCCTCGCCAGTCTCTACTCACCCCTCCCCTCCCAGCACTCCTCCCCGCCCTGCCCGGGCTCCTTAGGGTCCCAACAGGAAGCAGCTGTTGGCGCTAAGCAGCCACCATGAGAAAGAGTTGGCCAAACAGTTGGATCAGTTCAAATTGGATCGGACCAGGAAGGAGGCTCAGCAGAAGCCCCTCACTGAGGACTACGAACATAGGCTTTCCAAGCAGAGGGGAGACCTGCTTGAGGGCAACGCCAGGTACTGACGCCTGGAGGCTCAGTGGGCTGAGATGGTCAGCCAGTTCCAGGAAGTCCCACTGGAACGAGGCCCAGTGGCGCATCTCTCCAGCCTTTGCCCCAAGGCCCACCCCAGGAAGCTGAAACAGACCCCAAGTCAGAATTTCTGTCCCCCCTCCCACCTACGCAAAAAGACCCCAAAGGGGCAGATTCTCTGCAGCAATGCAAACATTCATTGCACATATGCTCATATCTGGCCCCAGGAGTCGTAATTTGAGGACCCCTGATTTAGTCTAATATAAAAAATGCAAAAAAAAATTCTGCGCACCACCAACATCTTCTCGCGGACCACCAGTGGTTCACGGACCACCAGTTGGTGACCGCTGGTCTAGAATTTAGGTCAAAGGCAAAGGCAGGGTTTTCTCAGCAAACTCAAAATTATTATTCGCAAAACGTTCTGCTTCAGTCCCTTCTCAGGCAGGGCAAGCTAGACAATAAACGGACCCCTGCATTTAACGGGGGTACAGGAAATGGGGACTCTGGCAGCTGATTGTGCTAATGAGAACAAGTGTCATGTCTTCTACTAACTGGATCTTTCTTTCCCAGAGTATTCGTGAAAACAGCATTACTTGAAATGGGAATGGACTCCATTCCATGACAGCGATGATCTGATGGGCACCTGAATCTCCAGTCGTATCATTTTTCAAGTAGTCCTGTATGAGACCTTTAAATCTTGTCCAGACATGGAAAAAGTAACCTGATAAGATTTTAGTTGAACCTATTTCTATGTAATATGTCTAAGATTAGAACTAACTTGGGATTCTTGTTTCTGAAATCTGAACTTACCCATCAAAGGAATATTTATTTGTGTTTGGCATATCCATGATGTCCATAAAATCTCGGTTACCTGCAAAACAGAATGTGTTGAATTTACCAAGCATAATTTATGCCAATTAGTTTAGAGTTTTATCTCTTTGTATTCTTTTAATATGGCCTTTCTGGGGTATGATTTTAAAAGTAGACTCATATCACCCAAAATTTAGCAGTGAATCTTTTTCCTGCCAGTTCTTAGAATGTCAAAGCAAATTTTAGGGACCGGCATTTACTTCCGCACTATCAGTTTAATCTGAAACGTGGAACTTTTCTCCACTTAGATAATATCAATGCCAATTGTTGCATTCTTGTGTTTTCTCTATTGTCTATCTAATAAACATGAAAATAACATCAACAAAGAATAATAATAAACCTGCCACAGGGGACAGAAACTAAGCAAGCAATTATTAAAGACTAGGCAAGTCACCTGGACAGAAAAATAGAGTCAGAAATAACAAATACGAAGTTATTGAATATTAACAGTGGATTTCTGATGAATAGAATCTAATTATATTCTGTATTAGCCTGTGCTGGTTAGATAAGTATTATTGGATATTTCAGCACTTTATACATTGCTGTGGGCATTCTTTACTTAATTTACTTTTTAATTAAAGTTGGGAAAAAAAAATCCTTTAATAAAACCAAAGAGACAATGTGGAAGTCTTGTATAAGTCAGTGTTACGAATTATGACATCCATCAATTAGCATTTCCCCTCGTGATGAAAAAATATAAATTTTCAATATTGTTTACCTGCGGAACCAGCCACAATTGCTTTCAATTTTCTTTTGTGTCTGCAAAATAATAAATAAAAGTAGTAATCAACAGGCATGGGCGTGAATATAAATATCCTGATATTTCTTCCTAAGCTTCACATGAATTTGATCAGGCTTCTCACCAACTGCTCTTTTTTCAAATAGAAAAACCCTTTGCTACTGGAATATTTTTAGCTAAGGCTGTCCTTATTTACTTATTTGTTTATTTACTAGATGTGTATCTTATTATACACAACTCAAGGTGGTACACATCATGTTTCTTCCCCTTATTTTCTGCACAACAGCAGTTCTCTGAGATGAGTTGGGTTGAGAGAGAGCAACTGGCCCAAAGTCACCCAGGCGGTTTCTGTGCCTAAGAGAGGACGAGAATTCATGGCGCCTCAATTTTGAGTCTAGCACCTCAGCTCCTCAAAACAGTCATCGTTTTAAAATCATGGGTTGATCAGCACAACGTCTGCAGATTTTCCCCCACTGCACAGCCTTTATCCAGCTACGGTAATGACCTCGTTTCAGAGCACAGTAACCAAAGCGATCAACTTTTGTAGGCTTCAGTCTTATTTAGCTTTTTATTTGGTAAAAGACTAGGATAGTATTTGTGGCTAGAATACTAAAAACTACTACTTCAAGGTTAGAGCATTAAAACAAGCAACCCCAAATAGCTTTACTCAAGAATGTCCTGAAAGCATGATTAAAAAACGTGGCCACAATGCAATAATTGTAGTTCCTCCTATTTGTGATGTGAAATGTGGCTGCCGTATTGATTTTCTTACAGTACCCAACCGACAGTCCTGGGCTTTACTTTGAGAACACTTAATTTGCTCTTCTGTTATTATCATTACTACCATTATTTTAATTGTCATTTGACTACGGTATTTGAAATATTCTGCCATCGAGAGACAGATGGCTACTCACGCAGTTCTGTAGTACCAATTCATGAGGATAAACAACATGGCTGCCAGGAAGAGGAGAATAGCCAGAATGATTATTGCCATCTAGAAATGACAAGAAACAGGAAAAAAACAAAAAAACAAAAAACAAAGCAAACCATTGTAGCGGGGAGTGGAATTTCTAGAAAAATTCTTGGCCATCAAATTTCACCTGCCTTATGGCCCTGACTGGAGGGTATCATACTTCCAAGATGTGCTCATGTTCAAGGCACTGAGGGAAAGAGAAACATAGTGTATGGCCAATTCAGCATTTGGTGCCAGATTCCATTAATCTACGTGAATTGTTTCATCTAACCGTCTTCTCCCTTTGACTTCATCTACTGGAATACAAATGGGGTTAGACCTGGAGGTATAAATGTTTCATGTATAAAGATGTTGTAGCAATGTTTCAGCAGAATCTCATCTGCCATCATCAGGCTTCTGTTCATCATCAGAAGCCTGATGATGGCAGATGAGATTCTGCCGAAACGTTGCTACAACTTTAAAAGCACAACTACAATGACGTGGGAAAATACCTGAACAAAGCTGAATACCATAGATAGATAGATAGATAGATAGATAGATAGATAGATAGATAGATCGATCGATCTTTGGTTATTCAGGTTTTCTCCCGTGTAAGATTGGAAGTATTTAAGCAACGTTTCGATGAAGTCTCATTCATCATCTTCAGGCTTGTGTCTTCGGCTCTGTGCTTCTCA